ATCTTTATCTACATCCTAAGAGGGGTCACCAAACGTATTGGAAAATTTGTGATTTACCTCTCCAGCCCACCCTAGCAGTTACTTTATGACCAGTCCCTAAAATCAGCTTTGATCCCTACATATAGACAAACGATAATTATATATCTACTATAAATTTAATAACAAAGATTCAGTCATCATAAGCTTACCTTGAAATGGACGACTTCAATTTTGACCAATTTCGCAATTTAAAAAAAAACTAGCACCAAATTAAATAAGCCTTTAAAAATCGACTGACATTAATTTCAATTTCTTCACAATTAACTACAATACATTTTCTGAATTTGACACTTGAACTCGTCCGAGTCATGAGTCGTTAGAACAAAGAATGAAAATGCTTTACAGGTCCTCAAACGATGTTGTGTTAGCGAAGGCATTTCCTTTTTAATATCGTCATTTAATTCATTTTATATACTCGTTTCAATATCACTTATTCAAGTGATTTCGGATATATATAGCTAGACTATCGATACACATGTACTCGACTCGAACGCCATGTTTTGTAGATTGCAGGTCCTATTTCTCAGCCTAAATTATATAGTCTTATAGACGAGCGAGTCTTCTGTCTTCCTGCAGAAGTTTTATTTGCTCGGCAAACTGAAAATGACCATTCTTTCTTGTCAAAGAGCTACGTTCTGGCAGTTTTTCTTTGTTCTACGTTATGCCAGTTTATTAAGAATTAACTTATAATAATGGAGTATATGGAAGGAGATTTTGTTTATAGCGGTTAACGAAGAGTGCTCGACTCATTGAGATTTGAATACCACTGAATATAGATGCATATGTATATAAAAGTCTATTTTTGTGCCGTAAAAAGTCGCCTTTATTATTTTGCGGAAACACTCGAAATTTAATAGGTCATTAGGATAGCAACATTATACTTGTAATATAATTAATATTCAAGCATCACTTGTATAATCATGACATAAGAAAGATCAATTTTTGTTTTAATTTTATGTTTTTCTATATTTCTTTATTGATAAGGTTATGGCTATGCAGCGATGACATTTAATGAGATGAAATTTAGTTTAAGATATCAAACTTATAAATTTTAAAGTCTAAGAAATTCCCACACTTTATATTAAAAATTCAAAACGGATGTCACAATAAAAACGTTTTTTATTGCTTTATTACCGGTCCCTAAGAAGTAATATTGCAATAACTACAGTTCGGCAATTCATGTGTGATATCGCGAGCTCTTTCTGGTTGTTTCGGCCTTGTTGTCAGCGCTGAATGGGCGAAAAAAAAACAGCCAATGACTCACGAGGGATCAGAGCTGTCAGAATCTGTATGTTACGTAATACGCGCTCAAAACAAATGTCAAGTGGACTTGTATCTTATGACTATATTCAATTTTTTTAAATATGCTTTCCACTTCACTTGGTTATGACTTGGTTCAAATTTTTTATACGTCTTTAAACCGGCAAAAACTTAAAAAGTATGTTAGGGGCTTTACCTGTCAAAATGACGTCTGAAGTTCAGTAAATTTTGCTTATACTGGCTATTGCTGTATAAATATGGCGTCAATTAGCCTTTCTCACGCCGCCATTTTTGAGTGGCTTTTCGGCCGAAGTCTGCGGGATAAGTCCACATAACAGCGACTTTTTATCATTTTTTGGGCCAGTGAGGGTCAAATTGCTTTGTAATGGTTAATTAATTTTGAAAAATTGCTTTTCACATTGTTTTAATTGTCTGCATTGGTTAACGAGAATTAGATGCCACCCAAAAATGGCGGATATTGTTGTTGTGACTTTATTTTAGCAGGGTAGCCCATCAGCTGGCAGGGTAGCCCATCAGCTGTTAAGCTGTTATCCATAGAGGCCCTGCATATTATTAGCTAAATACATAAAATATGCAATCCTATGTCTAATCCAAACTAATTCCAACATATTTACAGTTCAGATATATAATGCTGTTTAATTCTACTTTTAAAACTAGCTAAAGTTAATATAGAGAATTCTTAATTTCAGGTGGTAGCTCATTATAGTCTTTTGCCCCTTGAAACCTAAAAGTTTTCTTACCAAGTTCTCTATTTACTCTGGGTAATACAAAATTCTCCTTACGTCTTGTATTGAAATTATGAATATTAACGTTTTTGACAAAATAATTATCAAGATAAGTTGGTGCAATACTGCATTTAGAATTTTATAAATTAAAATACATATATGAACTTTTCTCCGTGTCAAAAGATGGAGCCAGTTGAGCGAAGGGAAGCAATTTTCTGCGCGATTACTTTTAACAACAATGCGTGCCGCTCTATTTTGAAATCTTTACATTTCACTATCGCACGTTTGTCAAACATCGCTCCCCAACTTATATCAGCATAGTCAAATATTGGTAATGTTATAGTGTTATAGACACATTTTGATGTCCCAAGTGTTAGAGAGTTTCTAATTCGAGATGACAATCCTAATCGTTTCATTACTTCCCCTCCAGCTGATTCCGCGTGCTCCCGCCATGTCATATTCGTCATCGTGAGAAAGGCTGACTGACTCAAGTGTAACTAGAAACACTTTACGATTACGATTTCTATAAAGCAAATGTAGATATAATCAAATGCGCTTTACACCATATATGCATTAGCTTACCTAATCACTTACTTAGCCTAGACTATTTTATCTTTACAACAATTGTGATATTACTTTCTTAACTGTGTTTATCCTAACCCACCCTGTCAACTTTCCCTGTGGGAGGAAACCAGATCACCCGCGGAGAAACCCACGACTTGCGGCAGAGCGTTGACGGACTCTTTTTATATGCCCCATGACTTTAAAGTTGACTTCAACATTGCACGAGCCTTATTTTGTTATAAGCAAGTCAAAATAAACAAAAAAAAGAGCGCAAAAATTCTCAGCCGAGCTCATATGACGTCATGTGATGTTGGCGACATGACTATTTGTGCAATATTCGCATTAGTCTTATCGCAGACTAACGTTCTGCAATTCAACAATTTCTCAACAAGTCTGCTATCGCATTAGTCTGCGATAGCAGACTATCGTCCTGCAATTCAACAATTTCTCAACAAGTTGTGAGCAAGAACTTTGAGGCTTGTAGCAAGTTGATAAAATAACAGCATTGTTACAACTTGTTGGCAAGCTTGCTGCAAGCCTATTGCGAACACATCTTGTTGACCAGTTGTGAGCATTTTATGCGTGCATGCGACTTGCGGATTAATTACACACAACAATAACAAATCTCAGAAAAAAACCTAGAAAATTTATTAGATGTACTTATGATGCCATATCATTTCTTTAATGTCTTTATTATCGATACGAAGAAAACGAGGATCCTGACCTAAAGAAGATAAATTAAGAGCATATATTTTCTCTATGTTACGTACTTGCGACGAAAAGCGTTCAACTGAACCTACAATCGCGTGCAAAATGACTTGAGACAAATTTTAGGAGTTGGATTTCTCGACAGAGTTTAAAATTAGGACTCGTCAAGGACTCGGCCAAGGACTCGTCGCTGCGTTTACGACAAAGAACAAGTCAATTGCCCAAAACTAATATTGAACGCTTTAAGAACAGTTTGATGGGGGTGAGTGCACAGGTGTTATCGAAGCGCGTAAACTTTTCATGTGTATTATTAACAAATAATAGTATGGTTTCTCGAGCAATTTGGGAAAACATCTAATCGTGAGTTTTTCAAAGACTTTGAAAAACTCACTCGTGCATGTTTTTTCCAAATTGCACTTAAAAAAAATTTCCAGCCATCAAGTAAGAAAAAAAATTTCTTCTATAGGTGTACAAAAAAAAGTATTGCCTCTTAGAAAACCCCCCTTATCACTTTTCTAATGGTCCGTCCCTTATGCAATTAAGGGTTCTCCGTGATTGGGTGTTACTGTGACATATTCTCTGGCGCTACATGTTGTGTATTTTTGGTAGTGGTCGAATTTCATTAAATCATACTTACATTGATGGGCCGAAACCTTGTCCCTGGTTCATACCAGCAGCATTTTGTCCGTCAGCAAAACCGCCAAATGAAGGCATGCTTGAATGGGACGATAGCGAACCAAATGACGGAGTCGAAGATGAATTACTGTAAAGAAATAAACAATGTTTTATGATGATTAACTGGTTAAACCTTATATTTTAACCAGAATTAATCTGTTAGACCCGACTAAAAATAATTTCCCAGTTTGAAGTTTCGGCTTACCCAAACACGCCTGCTGTTTCCGTTCCTGATCCAAAAACCCTACATAGGATAAACAAATTTGACCTGATAAAATAGCCACGCCACACATTACAGCACATACCAATACGACATTCTACCATACCATATCACATCACACCATGCCATCTCGCTACACCATATATACCATAGTTGACGGGTGTTATTGATGGAAATTATCGATGGAAATTATGTAGCTCAGTTGGTTAGAGCGCTGCACTGGAATCGCAGGGCTGCAGGTTCGATTCTTGTCAGGGACATAAAGTTGAATTTTCCGCAACTATTCCTGGTTAAGGCCCTGTCACACTATTGCGTATGAGAGAAACGTATGAGAAGCATATGAAAATTAATGAAATAATTTTCATACGCACAAAAATTTTTTGAAATGCCACGTATGAGTACCGTACATCTGGCGTACCTCTAGCGTATTCAGCGTGTGCCTAGAGTATGCTTATCGTATAAATCATACGTCTGAATACGCACAAAATTTTTGAACTTGCTTAAAAAAAATTTTCTGCCTCGCCGTATGCCAGCGTATGCGACCGTGCTTGAAACGTATACAACCTAAGCCATGATACCACACAATACAATACTACATTATACTCTACCATATCATGTACCACACCATATCATACCATAGTACATAACACCAGGGCATACCACACCACATACCACACTATACTCAACTATATCACACCACAGCATACCCACACAACATATCATATACCACAAATTAGCATCCCATACTATACCACATTATACGGCACCTTTGGTGTAGTATAGTGTTGTGTGGTATGCTAATCATATCACACCATACAACACTACAGCATACTGTACCATACCATACCTCACAACACAATACGACACCATATCAAACCACACCGTACCTCAACACAACAAATGACACTAGTCATACCTTGAAGGACTGCTGGCAGTATTCCCAAAGGAAGGACTACCACCAAAAGTTGTCCCACCAGCTCCAGATCCAAACGCGGGTGCTCCACCAAATGAAAGAGGCGAACCAAATGCGGGTGCAGCACCAAACGCGGGGGCGGCGCCAAAGGAAGGATTACCACCAAATGTAGGGTTACCACCAAAGGTAGGATTTGAGCCAAATGAAGGCGGACTGCCGAACGACGGCACAGCGGCTAAACATATAAAACTTGTATATGATTATTAAAAGAAGAATCTTTTGTACATGTTACGTAACGCGTGGTCAGAACTAATGAATATACTTTCAGTGGCGTAGCCAGCGCGACAATTTAGTCCCGCAATGCAAATTCAAATTTATCATCATTATTCATTTCTTTAAAGTGCCTATGACACGAAATTTCACCCCAAATGTTTATGATTGCATTGTAAAGATCACTTAAAATAACTTAATATTTTCTTTTATAGAATTTTGGTAACTTGCTTCCTTTGCAAGATATTCAACTTTGTTTTATATGCAAATATCACCGGTGTGACATCACATAGCATGAGATTTTGAAAACGCAATATTTTACCTTGATAAAATATTTTTACAAACAAATACAGAGGGTTAATGACCAGTTATGAAACAAATACATATACAAGGGCAATTTTTAAGTTTTTTAGATACGTATTCATCATGAAAACTATACTTTTCTGAAAACTCATTATGTGATGTGATGTCACACCGGTGATATTTGCATACGAAACAAAGTTGAATATCTTGAAAAGGAAGCAAGTTACCAAAATTCTATAAAAGAAATTATTAACTGATTTTAAGTGATCTTTACAATGCAACCATAAACCTTTGGGGTGAAATTTCGTGTCATAGGCACTTTAAAAATTGATTGTTTTCACTGTCAATGAACACGAAACTGTACGCTGCTGTATACTTTTGCATTTGGTATGACTATAATCAAATTTGTCTGTCTTTGATACGTTTGTCAAGCGGTAAACACACTTAAAAATATGTTAAAAGTATTTATCTGTTAAATAATGCAAATGAAGAAATTTTAGATGGTACGATTTTAGATAAAGATCTATAAAATAATGCTAAAATTAAGGGAATTGAGATAGTACGCCAAAGGTTCAGCACCAAATTATTTGACGCAATAATCCACGAGAAGGCCAAAACCAACTTCCGCAAGAGAAGTTTTTCTTGCTGGAATAGTGTATATGATCATATTCAAAGTAACGTTTACTCTATATCTCATAATTCCTTGAAATATATCTAGATAACTAATCTCCACTTCTTAACTTTGTAAAAGTTCTAGTATTGATGTTAATTTTTTATAATTGTAATACTTATGTAGACAACGAGCACGAATGGCTACCGTGTGTTGTAAATAAATAAATCTAATAAATGTAAATACTACTACTAATAATAGTAATAATAGTACGTCAAAAAGAAAATGATGTCTGATGTTCAGTCAGTTTTTCATAATTGTCCGCGTTTTATCACCTTTTCCGCGTTTTCCCCTTTTTGCGCTCAGAATTCCACAATTTCGTAATTCCGCATCCGTGTTTTATCTCAACCCATAGTACAACACTCATTACCTGAAGGCGTTCCAAATCCAGTTGATCCAACACCAGTGTTCCCAGGGCTTGCACCAAAACCTAACAGACACATTTTAAAACCGTTCTTAAGCCTTTCTTACGTCCGTATTCTAAAAGCTGACTCACACTCACACTCACACGCAATGAGTGGAGGTTCAATCTGAGCTTCTCTTGAGTGTCAATGCTGTTTTTGAATAGCTGGAGCTTCGGTGGCCAAGTGGTTAGCGCACTTGCCTTTCACCTCTAAGGTCGCAGGTTCGAATCTCAGTGAGAACTTCTCAATGTGACTCGAACCCAGTCCTCATGTGAAAAGAGTAAAAGTCAACGCTCTACCGAAAGTCGTGGGTTTTCTCCGGGCACTCCGTGTTTCCTCCCACAGGGAAAGTTGACAGGGTGGGTTAGGCACATAGGTCTGGAGGCAGATCATTAATGAGGTATGGACTAATAGCGGCAAGCTCCGATTGAACCTCCACTCATTGAGTGTGAGTGAGCTTTTAGAATACTGGCGTTAGTCCGCAAAAATTGGCGCAAAGAGTACAATCGGTATAGCCAAATATTTTCCCAAACACAATGACGACATTTGTTGTTCGATAGGCCATTTCAGATGGACTATTCGCTTGGCGCGAACAAGGGTCACACATAAGGGATACGATGGTCTGGAAACTAAACAGAAGTCATTGTATTATGTTTTTGTCTGAGCTTATGTTAATTTGTGCACGTTCACAGTGATTCAGCTCATTGTATTTTCGTATAATTAAGTAACCGTCCAATAGGGATAGCTGAGACGAAACGTAACGTACAACCACGATGAATAATATTTAATGAAGTTGAGAGAAAGAATTTGTGCACGGTGAGGCACAGTTCAACATCAAACAAAGCTCTTCTATTTTGTAGCTGTGAAGTTTGCCGGAGCTTCCAGAGCATGATATCTTGACAGACTAGATTAAGACGCTTAAATGTATAACAAAAAAAAGAAAAAAAATGTTTCTCTTTTCTGAAAACTATAATATATCTAAGAAAGATATTCCAACATACCTGTCGAACCAAAGACTGGCTTTGATCCCGGACTCTACAAATGATATAAAAATAGAGATTTTCATAGCTTTTAAAACCTTAGCAAACACGAGATAGTCAAATAGTGCATGTGTCAAACACTATGGGTGTGTGAGTATAACCTAAAGCTATGATGTGGGTGTAAACATCGTTAGCGAAATTTGTCTATGGCGTAAGAAGATGGCGAGCATTTTCAAGCAAAATCTAAAGTTTTCTAACGACTTTCGCGTATGAAAAACCTTACTTGAAATGGGTTAGGGCTTGACGTGGCAGCAGCATTTCCAAACAAGCTCGAATCTAGAAAACACAAACATAATTAAACAAATCTCCGCCAAACCCCTTAGATCTTAATCTTCTTAATATTCATATTTCCCATAAACGGCACAATGATTTTCAATAATAGGCCAACCTGAGCTTTGAGGCGATGGATTCACTTCAAACGGATTTCTGTTAGGCTCTATCGGTTTACCACCAAGACCTGAGAATCCACCTCCGAAACCAGATGCTATTTGAACGAAAAAAGTAATCTTACTTTTATAATTTACAAGTTGAATCATAGTAATAATAATAAATAATAATGGTTTAATAGCATTTCCATATTGTGGCTATTATGCTATATTCTGACAGAATTTTAAATAATTACTATAATATTATAGTATATTACAGACGTATAATGGATACATTATAAACACATTGTATTGCAGACTAAATGTTACGAAATGTTACTAATTTTGTTCATTGTTAAGTCCCTGAAATGAGCGAAACAATTTCGGCAACACTCTCTAAAGTTAGTACAGTTCCGAAAGTCTTCGGGAAGATCGTTGAACACCCGAGCAGCCTCGCCTTGAAAGGTACCAGAGACACGCGGAACGACCAAGCGACGGGAAGACGATGATCGCAAGGCTCATACTCGTCAGTCGTCAAGTTTTAGGTAGTCACATATAATTTACCTCATTATCTATGTTTTGGTCTTGTTTTTTTGCAAGAAATGGTCGGTTTAGTCGTCACGTGTTTATTGTTTTTCGCCCAACTTACCATTAGCAGTGTGTTAAGAAGAAAGCTTCAGAAGAAGCCAACAAGGTCAAAAATCCGATTTACAAAATATCGTTTTCCTCGCAGAGTGAATATGGAAGCTTGAAAATCTTGGGGAGTGCAGGTCTGGAATGATTTTATCTTAAACTTGGTTTCCTTATGGTCGCAACGGTCGCTACGAGTCACGATCTTTCTCAACAGCCAAAATACAACAGCTTAGGAATGAAAATAAGTACAGTGATTATAAATAGAGAATACTTATGATTTATATGTGATTTACAGGCAAGAAACTATTAGATCTGGCAGATGAGAACGATCGTCACTCTGTCTTTACGACCGTTACGACCAAACGGAAACATGGATTTGTAAAACATTATTATTGTAAGGCACCTGGTTTTGTTTCACTTGGTATACTGACGTTGGCCATGCCAAATCCTACAAAATAAACGAAGTTGAACTTATATAAAAATATATTAGGAGTCAAATTAGACACGGCCTCTTTTAAGAATTAAGGGGGAGGGGGGCATCACGAAAGAGGGACGAGGAGGTGGTGAAATGTAAAAGTGCAGGGTCTTTTAGGGGGGAGCAAATTCTTTAATTTTCGAGCGTGTGCGGCTTGATTTTCAATCAATCAATCAAAAATTCATTAATACTTCATGAGGAAAACACAAAGAAAAATCATAAGCGTGTCGTATCTTTATATGTGATAGAGATTTCCCTTGATTTACATAAACTTTAACTTTGATTTTCTCAACTTAACCAACGTGTTTTTTGAAAATTGCTAACGGCAATGAACTTACTAGATCGATCGTTTTTGAAGCAATTTACAACATTCGCAGTGCGTGTTTTATCAGACCTAAAGATACTCGGCTTCGCCTCGTATCTTTATATCTGATAAACGCTGCTGCTCATGTTTTAAATAGTACATCAAAGCATTTATTTTCACACGATAAAAACTACAGCAAAGCTGATGTGGTCGTGTATAGATATGAACATGAATTGATACTACATAAATGACTTAAATTACACAACTATATCAATTACAATTTCAAATGCTCCATTTAAAACCTAACATCTTTGAATGAGCGTTTAAAAGTATTTAAGTCATTAATGGTTCTTGTTTCATTGCCCATCGAGTTCCACAAAGAAACTGCCTTGAATGTTATGGACTTTTTTCAAATAGTCGGTCTTTGGTCTTGGCAGAACAAATGTCAGTTTTCTTCTTAGGTCGTATTTCAATCACTTTTTCTATTATTATTATTATATTATTTCACACAAGCCAGTGAGATCTTTCGGTGTTTGGCCATAGAAAAATTTATGATAGAAACATTTTATTATCGGCATTTTAAACACAATTTTGGATATATTTCGTTCAAAGCTTAGGTACCTTTGTCCAATTTTGTGCATCTCTAAACTAAAACAATAGTTACTAGGCATGTGAATAAACTAAATTTGTGAATTGGGTAGCAATCATGTGAACAAAGTTGGCCAAATTTATCCATTAGCCCGTGAACAAAGCCTAGCTAAAAAGAAAAATATCTTACCTCCCGTATTCTGTGAAGTACCACCAAACGGCGATGATCCGAATGTGGGTGTAAAATTACTTGCAGGCGTGTCAGCCTTACTTTGTGTTGCTTGAAATGACGGCGCTGTCGACCCAAAGGTACTGGTACCAAATATAGGAGCTGACGTGGTAGCAGAATTCCCGCCAAATCCAAAACTGAAAGGCTCAGCTGAACTTGCGGGCTGTGCAGGTTGTATTGCTGTATTGGGCTGACTTGCAGTCACTACATTGGCATTCGTACTCACGTCTGATGTGAGTTTTTTGTTGACCTCATCGGCAGGTTCGCTTGATTCGGCTGGCGAATTTAAGTCAAGTTTTGGTTCTTCAAGAGGTGGTTTAACTTCTGTCGATCCAAATGCTGGCTTGGTTGCTGTTGGATTTGAATATGCAGTTGGATTTGAAGTTGCAGTTGTTGTTGTTGTCGATGCGAGAGTTGGGGTTGTAGAGGCTGCAATAATGAACATAAAAAATGTGATTAAACTATTTTTCTATAAATGCAATTGTAAATCTCAGATTAATGTTATGCTATCTCCTTTTAGTAGGACGCAATGTTCCCCTACTCTTAAGACAATATTTTATTATTTTTGGTCATTTAGTTTGCGGTGCTGTATTATCTAAAAATACAGTCTGTAGCATTCGTGATCCCCAGCTGCGCCACCCAGATCTGGGTAGTCGATTCTGATGATGATATTTAATCAGGGTGCCCATATCTCCGAGGAGTTTTTCAATGAGGCCCTGCTCAAGACACATTAACAATACAATACAATACAATATATAAATAGATATCATACAATATAAAATAGCAAAAATTTACCTATAAAATATGCTAAAAATTAGTGTTCTACGTTGCAAAAGTCACCGTAGCTACATAGGTAGCTACTTAAAATGTAATTTAAAAGTACTTAAAAAGTTAGTATCCTTAACAGCAGATGGTAGAGTGTTAAAGTCATTAAGGGACAGATAACTAAAAGTTTGTTTGCCCCAATTAGTTTTTACTCTCTGAAGGTTATAATCGTTTTTTCTTCTTGTGTTGTACTGATGAACGTCACTATTTAGTACAAAGTCAAATTCAATTTGATCATTCTTTATCTTTGTGTACTAACAGACAACGTCGAATCTTCTTTCACCGAGCGGCTTGAATTCCTAAGTACTTACGGCCTCAGTCGACCAATCATACATTGGCAAATCAAGTATAGTCTTGGCTGCTTTATTCTGGACTATTTGTAGCTTGTTCATTAACGTGATGTTATCTTTATTACCCCAGACAATATCCGCATAGTCCAAAATAGGTAATATAAGAGCGTTGTATAGGGTGATCCTAGCATGGCGTGAATCCTAGCATGGCGTGGTGATTAGTCACAGTTAAACGCAGTGGATTCTGATTGGCTGAGTTCAATGGTCAACAAAGTTCTGACTTTGAATAACGCGTAAACAAATTACATCACGCTCAGGATTTGCCGTTATTTTTTTCAACTCCTTATTTAATTACATATCATATTAATCTGTAGTACATTTTTGTAGACATTACGAAAATTTAGTAGTTTGAAGCATAAACAACAGTAAAATTTACAATGAAAATCAAGTGTAAAGAAAATAATATTTCGATTTTGAAAATCAAAGTCCAACGGTCGTTGATATTTAAGTTCAGCCAATCAGAATTCATTAAATTCAGTCTTGACCAATCAGAATCCAGATCTGGGTAGCGCTGCTGGGCGGTCGACAAGCAATGGCACAAATTTTCACAGACTGTATAACAGCATAATAGTATCTTACATACCTGCAGTGCTCGGAGGAGTAATATTTGTCTGTATCGGAGGCGATGCTGCAAGGGGAGGAGTCGTGGTTTGGGAAGTGGGGTCGGGAAGGGATGAAGCTGAGTTAAAAACACCAGCAAAAGGAGGTGGGTTTAAAGTCAGTCCTGATCCAAGGGCTGCCAGCCTTTGGGCAGGTTGTGATTCGGGTTGTGTTTTAACTGGGTTGCGCTCTGGGGGACTGGATTCCGTGGTTGCCTTGGAAACGGGTGGCGTGGTGGATACTTGTGTTGAAACAGCGCCAAAGCTTGGTTTTATGTCTCCGGGTCCAAAAACAAAAGGACCAGTAGAGAATGGTGAATTGAAGCTGGTCATGAAAGGTTTTGTTGCAGTGGTGCTACTGGGACTGCTTGTTTTTGGTGGGGATGGAGTTTTTGTTGAAACATTGGTTGCTGTAGGGGTGTCTTTATCTGATTTTCCAATTGCAGCCTAAATAAAACAAAAATGTATTTTGAAAAACAAAAAAGAGAATTTCTGCATCACATGATCACCAAAAACCCTCGCTTTAAATTATCTATAATTTGGCTATCTCCTTCGATAGAACACAATGTCGAAGAGTTAATTTCCAGATGGCATAACGGAAGGGAAAAAATGGGGGGAGGGAGGTCGATGAAAAAAATTTCCAAAATCTTTTAAAATTCTTGTAATTTCAACTGCTATATTGCAGATGGTGTAACGCCCTGCCAATGATCAACAAAGGACCTAAAATGTAGAAATTTTAGATGGTACGCCAAAGAGAAAATGACGTCTGAAGTTCAGTAAGGTTTGCTTATATTGCCATGCAATCATTTTTAAAGAATCTGATAATCAACAACTATTCGCCGAAGGCGAGGTGATTATCGGGGAATATTCGCCGAGACGAAGTCGAGGTGAATATTCCCCGATAATCACCGAGCCTGAGGCGAATAATTGTTTCAGTATTTTTGTGTTCTTTGGGACTGAATTTATTTGAATTTCGCTTATTCCTTTATCAGTATAATGTCCACAAAACGGCTAACCGCCATTTTGAACATTTCGGTTGTGTTATATTCACCTGTAGGTGAATATTACAGCTTAATTCGTCAAATTTGACCAATCAACTTGTGGGATTTGTTATGTTTACTTGTGCAAAAATATTAATCGTATTTTTAAACAAATTTTTCCTATTATTCTATGTTTCTCAACCGGCAGATACATTTAAAATGGTTGCTAACTGTATAAACTAGAGAATAAAGATAAAACAAAGTAATCTTGAGAGGAACGCCAAAAAGATTTTAGGCTTTGAACACTTTTCATCGCAAGTACGCGACATTGATGGTTGTCAAATACGGTCAAGCAAGGTTTTTGATTTGATGGTAGAATTTAGCGATTAAAAAATGATGCAGGCCCATATTACCTAAGTCCTTTCGTAATATGGGCCTGCATCCTTTAATTCCATCCTGTACTCTTTCCCCAATAATTCGTCCCTTCTCAACCAATCCCACAGCGAAAAAAATGCCTCTTAAACATACCTGTCTTTGAGCAGTGACAACAGGTTGTTTACTCTCGCCTTCAGGCTCTCCTCGTTCAGGAACAATGTTGCCTTCATTATCATCTAAGCTCGTCTTATCAAATAGATTTCTCGCTACGTTTTCTTTCCCACTGCCCGGAGCTGTTTGTGTAGTTAGTGGAGATTTTGTCTTGTCCAACTCGTCTTGTTTGCCGCTTCCAGCACCTGGAATACGAATAGAGAATATTTTATTGACTCATTCATTCGTCAAATTATCATTATTATAGGATGCTTATACAGGGTGTATAAAAAAAAAGGTAATCGAACTTCCGCGCGCTATTGTATCTGAATTACTCAGCGTATGAACGATATTTTTTCACATTCGGAAAGATCATGCTTTTAGCTGTTGAATGATATCTTCTTCATGCCAAATGGATAAAAAATGAGCAAATACTAATCCGATAAAAAAATGTTAGTCAGAATCGCATATTTTCACCGTTGAGAGTTGGGTCTAAAACCATTGAAAAAGAACCCCCTTTAGGACTTAAGTTGATGAATTTTACTTCATTAAACTGCACACATATTCATAATTATTATTTAAGTAGGAATAAATCTTAGCTGTGTGCGGAGGATTGAAGATCCATTCACATCCTTTGCGAACTAGGTAGGCTTCGATATCTTTTTTATTCATCTCGTTCATCGCTGCTTCCAACTCATTCCGCGCCCCAACGAAGTTCGTACCGCAGTCTGAACGAAGCTGAGCTACTGGACCTCTAAGAGCTAAAAATCTGCGTAGGGCGTTTATGAAGCTAGAGGTGTCCAAGGACTCGATTAAAGCCCCGTTTACACGAGCAAATTTTATTTGACAAATTTCATATGACAAATGCATTTGATCAAAAGCTAGCATGCTAGCTTTTGTTCAAATGCATTTGTCACAATAAATTTGTCACAAATGCATCATCCACACGAGCAAAAT